GAGCGAGAGAGAGAGAGAGAGAGAGAGAGAGAGAGAGAGAGAGAGAGAGAGAGAGAGTAAGAGAAAGATAGAGAGAAAGAGCGGGAGAAAGAGCGGGAGAAAGAGAGTGAGCGAGAGAGAGGGGGAGGGAGCGAGAGAGAAAGAGAGAGAGAGAGAGATCGAGCGAGAGATCGAGCGAGAGAGAGAGAGAGAAAGAGAGGGAGCGAGAGCGACAGCGTAAGCGATATAACCGCCTAACACCAGAGGGCATGCCTATTATACGCTGTTGCATCTTTACAAACGCGTACAATTGTCTCATTTAGCTATATCAGGCAACGGGCGCGCATCCAACGTCAATATGTCTAAACGCGCACGGTTCTGTTCGGCGCTGCGCCTCATTTCCTTAGGTATTTGATACGATGCCTCGCAAACAATTGCGATGAGGCTGATGATAAATTGAGGAGACGAGAACACGACGCTGCCGTATCAAATAGAGCAGCAGGTGTGCCAATGACACGCCCGCCGCAGGGCGTGCGCGAATTGGAAAGTAAATGAATAGGGACGACGAGAAGCAAAGGCGAATGATATCATAGCAATACATTAGCCGGGCCGCGAATAACCACATAGCAGTCATTGGCCTGGTTATTCGCATTATCATTACATTGGACACGGGTGGCCGATATGGGATTTTGTTTGGCTGATGCAAGCACATAATACGCAAAACGTCGAACACCGAGGGATAATCTGGGCGAGATGTGTAAGGCCCAAGGTAACATCTGCAGCTGAATCATTTTCTAGCCTTAATTTCTGATTCTAGCCATACTTTTTTTTTTCAAAGAAACGCTTCCCTTGCTCACGGCAAAAGAGCTGGCGAGTAAAAACTCAATTTAACCAACAGTGTATATCGCAATTTTTAGGTTTATAGTAATAGCACATGTCCCGTTATAAAATGAATGTAATATCAGATGAGAACAACGTGTAATTTTATTCAACCTCTTAAAGTGCGACGTTCATAAGTTACGTATAATAAACGTTAACGTTTTACGTATGATACGTTAATATACGTATATATACTAAGTTACAGCACGATAAACTCGTACGTTCATGATTTCTTGTGCGTGCGTGCGTGCGTGCAGACGTGTACGTTCGTAAGCGTGCATGTGCTTGCATCGCAAATGGCAACTGATCCGACAGAGTGTGAATTCGTACTGTTGGTTAGCAAGCACAAGGCCTCTGGCCGCAGCAACGAACGTCCTGAATATTAAGCTGAATACGAGGCATGCAAGCACACACATGTAAACCACCGAACAAGAGTTAATACGATATTAGTATTTCATCTTCCCGTCAATGTATTGCTATTGTATCTTATTCACTTCCTCCTAAATTGACAATTGACGAGGTATTGCGCACGCGCGTGCATGCTTTTGCAACATTAACATCAAAATATAGATATATATCGTCATATATTTGTGATAATATCGTAGAGATTCCAAGTTGTGTACAAATATCACGGACAAATACCTGTATACGCATGGTACATAAAATATATAATAAACACTGCATATAATACACGTAATCGATATATAATTAATACATAATACAATATAATCGAGAGCTAATAATACACAAGAGAAAATACACAGATAATACACGGAGGTATTATTAGCTCTTGATATAATACACACACGCGTGCGCGTAGACACATACGCGCGCACGCGCAAACACCTGCGCACACACGCGTACACACTCGCGCGCGCGCACACACACACACACACACACACACACACGCACGCACGCACGCACGCACGCACACACACACACACACGAGCGCGCGCGCACACATGCATACACGCAAGCACGCACGCGCGCGCGCGCTTTTCCCTAATTTAAACATATGATATATATCAGGAGTAGATAATAGAGACCTTTACCTATTACCTTTGTGGTTGTCAACTAAATTGTCATCCAACTCAAGGAAGATCACCAATTATGGGACATGGCTAATAGCTTATGGGAGTGCTACTTGCGCAATGGTCACCCTAGATGATTAGGTAGCAGAATGAAAAGCTGTACACATATTATTCCAGCATGATAGGATCAGATATCTCGCACTGAGCCAAGTAGTCAAAGATCAGAGAGCGAGCGAGAGAGAGGGCGCGAGAGAAAGAGCAGAGAGAGACAGAGAGAGAGAGAGAGAGAGAGAGAGAGAGAGAGAGAGAGAGAGAGAGAGAGAGAGAGAGAGAGAGAGAGAGAGAGAGAGAGAG